TCAGCTGAGCTCCGTCGCCGCCGAGCTGGCAGACGTCGACGCCAAGATCGCTGAGCTGCAGGAGTGGCGCCGCCTGCTGACTGAGAAACAGGCGCGTCTCAAAGAGCGCGTGACGGCCGGCCGCGTGGCGCGACTCGCCGACCAGGATTGGGAGACGCGCCGGTTCCCGTGGTCGGAGAGACTGACGGCCGTGCTGCGCGACCGGTTCGGAATCGACGGCGGGTTCCGACCGCTGCAGCTGTCGGCCATCAACGCCTCCATGTCGGGCCACGACGTGATGCTGGTGATGCCGACCGGCGGCGGCAAGAGCCTCTGCTTCCAGCTGCCGGCACTGGTGAGCGATGGTGTCACGCTGGTGGTGACGCCGCTCGTGTCGCTGATGGAGGACCAGGTGACGGCGCTGCGTCGGCGCGGCGTTCCCGCTGAGATGCTGAGCGCCACCACCACGCGCCAAGACGTCAGTCGAATCCTGGCCGATATGATCAGCGAACGTGCAGAGATGCGCCTGCTCTATGTCACGCCAGAGAAAATGGCCAAAAGTAAACGATTTATGACCAAACTCCAGGCGATGCATAAAGCGAAGCGCTTTGCGAGACTGGCCATTGACGAGGTGCATTGCTGCAGCCAGTGGGGCCACGACTTTCGGCCTGACTACAAGTTCCTGGGCATCATGAAGGGCATGTTCCCTGGAGTGCCCATCATGGGTTTGACTGCCACCAGTACTGCAGATGTGACACGCGATGTCAAAAAGATGTTGCATATCCCCGAGGCCATCGTGTTTAAGGCTACCTTTAACCGTCCGAATCTGTTCTACTCGGTGCGCCCGAAGCCGGCCACGGGCGAAGGCTGTGTGGAGGAGCTGGTGCGACTGATCGGTACCGTGTACAGGGGCAAGTCGGGTATTGTCTACACAACCACCATTAAGGACACCGAGGAGCTGGCCGAGCGGCTCTGCAAGGCCGGCATCACGGCAGCCCCCTACCATGCCCGACTGGAGGCGCCACACCGGTCCCGCATCCACCAGCGCTGGCTGGCCGACAAGGTGCGCGTCGTCGTGGCAACCATCGCCTTCGGCATGGGCATCGACAAGCCGGATGTGCGCTTCGTCATCCACCACTCGCTGTCCAAGTCGCTGGAGAACTACTACCAGGAGAGTGGCCGGGCGGGGAGGGACGGCCAGCCAGCCGACTGTCTGATCATGTACCGGCTCCAGGACGTGTTCTCGCTCAGCACAATGGTGTTCACGGATGCCGCCACCGGTCTGGACAACCTGTACACCATGGTCCGCTATTGCCTGTCCGCCAGCCGTTGCCGCAGACAGCTGATTGCGGAACATTTCGAGGAGCAGTGGACGCAGGCCGACTGCGCGCAACGCTGCGACTCCTGCCAGCGGCCGGTCTCAGCCGAGCGCCGTGACATCACGCGCCACGCGCGGGCCCTGCAGAGCCTGCTGAGTCGGGCGGCTGCGTCGGACACCCGGCTGACAGCGATCAAACTGGTGGACGCCTGGCTGGGCAGCGGGCCGGCGCAGCTGCGGCTGTCGGCCGCCGAGGTTCCGGCCATCACCCGGCCGCGGGCCGAGGCGGTGCTGGCACACCTGCTGACAGAGTCCTATATCAAAGAGGACTTTCACTTCACGCCGTATAAGACCATCAGCTACCTGGTGGCGGGTCCCAACGAGGGAAACTACCCGGTGACGATGGAGGTGGCAGGCAGCACCTCAACTTCATCAGCCGGCGCCGACAGCAGGTCCCCGGTCAAACGACCTACCGCAGCAGCGGGCAAGGTTACGGACAGTGCCGACAAGACCCCACCTAAGCGGCCCGCTGTATCGGGGGAGAAGGCGGTCAGCGACAAGAGTCGACGCAGGTCGAAACTGTCTGTCTCGGCGAAAGCCAGCCGGCGGACAGAGTCGGAGGGATCCGCTTCCGCCGTCACCGGTGTGAAACGGTCCAAGTCGTCACCCTCTGACGAAGTTTCGGCCAAACGGCGGAAGACGCTGCTGGCCGCCCTGGCTGCGCGTGGTGTCCAGTCGGCTGGGGATGACGTCACGAACTGCGGCGATACAGCCTACCTCGAGCTTCCGCGGAACAGCTCAGCTGTCTCGGGACTCGCCCCCACATTGGACCGACCTCTCTCCCAGCCGGACCTGATAGTCTTGGATAGCTGATAGCTACTTGTGTTTCAGCTTCCGGTAAGTGCCATGCACTATTTACTATGTGATGTATCGTGATCTGTTGCGTCGCCTGTGTAACCTTAAAGATGGAAAATAGGTAACCATGTGGAATTTAAAGTGTCGAACGAATCCGATGGTATCAATACATTTGCGGTCCCTGTGACCATTTCATATAGTAACAGATCGCTTTCTCTTATAAGCCTAGTTTTTTTTTAACTACTGTTCATTTATCTTCGATTTTTTACCCATCTCATAATGCATATATTGTCCTTTTCGTGCATATCTACCCGTTGCGGCCTTTTATGAATACGTAGAGCAAGCCGGGCGCCAGTCCCGGTAACGCACATTCATGAGCGGTTCGTGGCATTGTGACCCGTCCCGCAGCTCGATCGGCAGAGCATCGGACTCGGGGGGGGGGGGGGGGTAGTAAGATCTGTGATGAGTTGCTTCGTCCGCTCAGTATAGGCATGACTGTTGAATGCGGATTATCGCGGTTGGTAGAAGCAGCCGGAGCCAGTTAGGCGAACCGTGTCTAGCTTTGATTCTTTAACTTCCATTGTCTCCCGATTACCCGGCATTGCTCGATCGAACGATAGGGGCCGGGGTCTGGGAAGTTATGCGTGCGCTATGCCGAGTTGCGGCTCGGTCAGCCCGTCCATTCAAACATAGTAGCTTAATTAATAAAAGGGCCCTATGTGTATTTGCCTTCTGGCCTTGGCTGATGGAGACGTGGGCCGGTCGTTCTCCGTCGCAGCCCTGAGCGGTCTTTGTTCTCATGGCCGCCGTGGTTCACTGAACATTCCGTGACGTGGCAGCCCGGCCGGCTGGGCGCTGTAGCAGGAGTCAATGGGTGCGCTGCACCTGTGAATCAGCTGAACCCTAGACGGTTTGGCCCGCTGCCCGCCGATCGAACTTCGTCAGCGCCGCAGGGGAAACAGGGGACTTCCCCGGGCCAACTGGCATGCCACTTGCCTTGCGCCACTTGCGACAAACTGGCGATATATCATGGAAATCTGAAGAAAACTTTAAAGTGTTGGTGTATTGTTAAAAAAAATGTTTCAGCTAGACTGAGAATAGTTACTCAGAGACAAAAAGATGCGGTTGTCTTCTTATCAACTCATGATAGATGCAGTGTAGTACTGTTTCCTGTAGGTACACGCTTTGCTTTGCGCTGTACCTACTTTGATTGCGAATCTTGCAAAAAAAGGAAAACACATTTTTCATTCCCCAAATGCGTACAGGCTGCGCTAACCAGTTTTAAAAGGACGCAACTCGTGAAAATGACAGAGACAATATAACTGCATTTGATTTATTGCTGTTGGGTATAGGGGAGAGTGGGGTAAGATGCACAGGGTGGGAAAGACGCCCCACCCCCTTTAGCGGGGAAACAAAGAATCGAACCTGGAATTTAATGTTCTTAGCGTAAAGCCGAAGCCTGCCTTGTTAACTGCACAAAAATTTGCGAAGCTCAGTTGGAGAACGGCCGGCTGGTGATTGCATGTTTTTTATTTGCTGCTTTCAAAAAATATTTTGGCGTCAAAACATTGTAAATATGGTAGATAATTTTTGCGTCCCTTGCTATAGTCGTGATACATTAACATGCGTGTACTGTGTCCCAAACAGTTAGTTTCAGGGTGTAGTTTTATGGCTAACAAATTGTGCTGATTTAATGTTACTTCGGTACCTTGGGGTAAGATGTCCCCTGTCCTGATGGGGAAAGACGCCCCCCTAAATCCGTAGGCTGTCCTTCAAGCAGCCCGTCAAATCATTTATTACATACTTGTGATGAGAGACAAAAGCCGATCTGGGACTATTGAGAGTCCAATACGGTCGGGTGCTCCCCATGCCGGTCTCTCGGCCCACACAGCGACTTTTTGGGCGGCATCTGACTCTGAGAGCCCTCACGACGGCCTCTGTGGGCCCCATTATTGGTTCCAGGGCCCCTCACTACACCCTTTGAGGGCTCCCACGTTGGCTCCACGGGCCGCGCTGGCATCTGAGGTCCCCACGATGGGCTCGAGGGCCCTCAAGCATCATGAAGACCTATAAGGGCCCCACAGTGGTCTCCGAACGCCACCACGGAGGCTTGTTTGGCCACGCTGGACTGTGATGGCCCTAATGATGACCTCTGAAGCCCCTTACGACTACTTTTGAGGGCCCTTACGATGACGTTTGGTGTCTACTGCAGGCTCGAAGGGACTACTGATTCGTTCAGGCGATTCACGTGCCTATTTATGTCAATTATAGTGCAGGGGGCATCTTACCCAAAGCCAGGGGGCGTCTTTTCCACCCTGTGGGGTAAGATGCCCCCTTTCACTTCTTCAGGAAAATGCTTAATAGCAAAAAAATATCATATTTCAGGCACGAAAGTGTGATATTTTTGGAGAAAAATGATGTCGGCTTCCGTTGAAACTCCAAGTTTTGACTTTCCGATCGTCATTTTCGAATAATATATGACATAGTCAAACCTTGGGCATCTTTCCCCACTCTTCCCTAATTATTATTGGAGCCATACAAATTTTGAAAGTTCGTGCTGTTTGCTCTTTACAGGAAGTGTCAAACCGAACCGTCTTTGGTATGCTGTACGTAGCTGCTGTTTCCCCGTTTTTTTTTTCTCTCACAAACTTTTGCAGTTTTCGAGGATTAGGGAGGCCGTTGACTCAACACGTCGTTCCGTAGCAAACTGTTGCATACTTGGTTATTCCTCGGATTTCGTCTGGTGACTATTCGTAAAATGAGTCGTCGTGGCATCGTTAGCACCAGCCACTAAGGGCCGGAGCTTCACTGCCGCTGGGGAGTTTTGGGTACTCGGTCATCGCATAGGGATTTCCCCGCAAGCCAGCGCTGCCTGGCGGGCGGCCCGGCACAACGGCCTGTGCCTTTGTGTCGGCCGGCGGAACAGGAGGGGCGCCGAGCTGGCCTTGGGTGTGCCGTGTACTGCAGGGCTGCAGCGGAAACGGGTGAGTACCTGGGACTGCCGGTACCTCTGCCTGTAACGTACTGTTTATAGCTTGTATCCATAACGTGTGCACTTGTGAAGTTGTTAAACCTATGAAGCTAGCTGTTTCGTGATCTTTGCTGAAGTTTGCTAAGTCAGTGGTTAGACTTTAGGTATATTAAAATGATTTGGATTGCGACTATTTCTATATTCTCTGCTCACAGTGTCTGTCTGTATTTACATACAATGGGTATGCAATGCCTTGAAATTAGGTAGGTAGGTATTTACATCATTCAGGCGTAGGTATGCACGAGTAGGTAGGTATCTTGTTTCATTTGTAGCTTGAAGGCTTATTCAATACTCATGGTTTGCTTTGTTGATTGTTGAATGGATGTTAATTGGATAATCCCCGAGTGCAATTGACAGCGGTATACCTAAGATGGTTGATAATTTCTGCACTGTCGCAATTTCCAGCAAAAAGACATCCAGAAACCACTTAACATTTATCTTACACTTCACACTTGTTCAGTTTATTTTGCTCCTAATACTTTTAATAGACTAATTTACTATGTTTTACAAATATAGATTTATTTTACTAGATTTATTAAATAGTAAAGGACCTAAGCTGAATAGTTTGCTTACTACCCAGTGGATAGTGTGCACAAAAAAAGTGTTTCCTCAAGAGTATTAAGACGTACACACCATTTTCCCTTACTCCTTAGGTATAGGTACGAGTAGTCTAGTGCGTACGCGTAGGACTAGCTTTCAACATGTTATCCTGCATATATGCCTTGTTTCAGACGGCGATCATGGCTATGCTACCTAGGGCAGCACTGGTGGAGCTCCACCAAAGTCTTCTGAAACTGGAACGACAAGAAGAGGAGCAGCGACAGGAGCAGCTAAGCAAAGACTGCGAGCCAATGCTAGAGCTGGTGGTGGACAGTACAAAAGAACAACTCGACGTGTATATCATGTCCGTGCGTCACAGGTCACACGAGCAGCTGCCAAAGCACTGCATAGAACAGGGCAGCAGGGTAGCGGTATCTCCATCTCTGAGCGTTATCATAGACGAGTGTGTCGCCTCTTCATTTGCAGTGGTTTCTAAGGTGACATCTCATACTCTTACACTGACGTTTGCGTACGACCCACCCTTGTACTCTGGTCAGATGGTAAACGTAATGCTGAATGAAATTTCCCAACACACCCAGCTGGAAGACGCGATGTCTTGGGTAAAGAATATTGACACGACAAGTTCTACCCATCCCGCAGCTCCTGTGGTGCGGATTTTGTTTAACGAGGATGAAGGACCAGCTCGTGGACAAGGACTAGGCAATGGTGTCGACACAGTGTCGTTACAGCCACGTTTCATCAACCAGAACTTGGACGCGTCCCAGCGGCAGGCAGTGGGTCTGGCTCTGCGAGATCGACCGCTGACGGTCATCCACGGTCCTCCCGGTACTGGCAAAACCACAACGATCGTGGAGGTGATTCTCCAGCACGTCGAACGAGGTCAACGCGTGCTGGTCTGCGCACCCTCCAACAAGGCCGTGGACAACCTGCTGGAAGGTGTGTGGAAGCAAACGCGGAAGGCCCACTGGTCTCTGCGTATGGCGGAGGTGACTCGGCTCGGGCACTTGGCGAGAATGGAGGTAAAACACAGACGCTTTTCACATACAGTAAAGCTCAAGAGACGCCTGAAAAGGAAAAGTGGCAAAGAAACACGGGAACAAGTTCAAGAAAGGAAAGCCGCATTGGCTGACCTGCTCAGAGAAACCTCCGTGCTGATGAGTACGCTGGCATCCGTGCGCAGTGTAGACCTGGAACACTATTTCGACCTGCTGGTGATCGACGAGTGCGGCCAGGCGACAGAGCCCGCCTGCTGGCTAGCCATCCCACTCGCCAAGCGAGTGCTGCTGGCTGGTGATCCTCACCAGCTGCCGCCGACCATCCTCAGCCAAGAGGCAGCCAGTGGTGGTCTGGCTGTCTCGCTGATGGAGCGACAGATGGGACTGCACGGTGAGGGCGTCGTCCACATGCTGGACACCCAGTACCGCATGCACGCGCTGATTCAGGAGTGGTCCTCGAAGACTCTGTACGGCAGTAAGCTGAAGGCCTCGAAGAAAGTCGCCAGTCGTCAGCTGACGGACTTGCCCGGTGTGAGCAGTACGTCACGGACGCAGCAGACCCTCCTCCTTGTGGACTCGGCTGGATGTGGTCTTAGGGAGGCACAGGATGTGAATACCAGCTCGCACAGCAACACTGGCGAAGCAGAACTGGTGGTTTGCCACGCGAGATCCCTGATCAGTGCGGGACTTCAGGCAGAGGACATCGGCGTGATCACCCCATACAAGCAGCAGGTGAAGCTCATCTCTGCCAGACTGCGCACAGCTGGATTGAACGTGGAGGTGAACTCTGTGGACGGATACCAGGGTCGTGAGAAGGAGGCCATCCTGCTCTCTCTGGTGCGTTCCAACGCACGCGGTCAGGTGGGCTTCGTGGGCGACCGGCGGCGGCTGAACGTGGCAGTGACACGTGCGCGGCGGCACTTGTTTGTCGTATGCGACACATCCACCGTCTGGCAGAACAAGACGATTCGCTCTTTTTTGGAGCACATGGATCGCAGCGGCGAGACACGCTCCGCGTACTGTGAACGATGCCCTGGTGGGAAGAAGGGACGTGAAACCAGTGCGGCATCTTCACCTCTTCCGTCAGTCCTCGCTGCGCCTCGACAACCAACATCAGTCGGCAGTCGGCAGCCAACATCGGTTGGCAGTGGGCAGCCGAAATCAGCTGGAAGTATGCTCAAACCGAGACCTCTGGAGGGCAAACGCGTGGATGAGGCCTCGGTTGCAAGGCTGACTGAAAGCGTAGGCTCCATGACCCTGAGATACAGACGCACTGAACTCGTCCGTCATTCAAACCAGTCGCCACTGCCTGCGGCCTGCGGTTCTTCAGCTACTGCATCTGCTGTCCGTGGCTCTGTGTCCCTCGCCCCTAGCTATGCGTCCGTGACCCGTGGCTCCAAGTCCGTCACGCATGGTTCTGAGCCTGTCATGCGTGGTCTGGATTCCGCCACGCGTGGTTCTGATGTCAGTGCCCGCGTCGGGCGTGGTTCTGTCTCGGTCACTCGTGGTTCGGCACTCAGCGTGTCGGCTACGCGTGGTTCCACATATGTGACACGTGGTTCTGATGCCAGTGGACCAGCCATTTGTAGATGCACTGGATGTGTGGCTACAGGTCGCCCCTCCGCAGTCAGAGTGTCTGACGCTCCAGGTCGCAACTACCCAAGAGAGCCTGTCGGTACTTCTACCGATCTGCCGTGGTTCTGTCGCATTCTGTGATGCAACAACTGTCACTGGCTGCGCACTGCGCAATGCCCACTTCTCTTTGCTGGAGTCTTTCACGGCGTTGTTCCCTTGATCAAGGTTATTACCTATGTGAATGCGAGGAACGCGATGGCTACAAGTGGGATTATGTTACCGCCATAGACTCATTTGAGGGGATGTCGTGACACTTTTCAAAGAACTGTAGCGTGCAGCGTGCGTGTGCACAAGCTAGTGCTAAAATGTAAGTACCAAGCAGCCAAGCTACTTCTCTCATTATGCATTCGTTACACAGAAACCTTTCTCTTATTGATTATGCTGTACCAAGAGGGAAGATTGCGAAACAGTACTTAATTTAGACGACCTTATGGGGATGCTTTTGCGATGAGAATCAAGTTTCCACTGATCATTTTAGTATTGAAAAATATACTATAAAAAATATGTTGCTTGTGCCTTCAGCGTGGATTGGGCGAGGCACATGATTGTGCATCATGCATAAGGCACACTTAGTGCATTTGTCACCATGTGGTGGCGGATGATACGATGGGGCGAAGGGCAAAGTGACGACTCTTGGGTGCGAGGCTCCTCTTCCAAAAAGCTGTTGCACTAATACAAAGTAACTAGGATATAAGCAAATAGCAATAGTGAGACACAAAACTTCGCTAAGCTGCGGCTTGCGTATGTTTATTTGGAATATGAATGCAATCCACTTCGTGTAACCGTTAACTATTAGATGCAAAAGTAACATTGTAAATAGTCCCGGACATGATGACACGATTCTTATCAGGGTGATATATCGACATGGAAACGCTTCAACATCACAATCAACACCCCAGCACAGACAGAACCTCGGATGATCCTGAGCCACTCAATCGCACATGGTCCATCCGTCAAACGCCAGCCGTGCTCTGGCGGAGCTCTCAAGGCAGCTTCTTTAGCTCGGCACTCAGTGAAGCGGGTTTAGAGGTTGACTCTGAGCCGGCGGGACGCGGCCGCTGCTCTGCCGACGGACGAGCCGGAGGGCTCTCGGGAGCCTCCGCCGTCCCTGTCTGCCAGCCAGGTGGCTGCCAGTCACAGCTCCGCCGAGCCGGTGCACCTTACCCCCGGGTGCAGTCCGTCTGATGGCCGGCTGACGTGGTCGTCCGGCCCCGACCCGTGTGGCGCGCTGCGCGCTAGTCTTCCTGGTCCGAGTCCGTCGATACGCCATGTGGGCGGCGCCAGACTCGTTGCTCCCACATCCGTCCGCATTGACCTCGACGCCAAGCTGGGAGGGAATGGCGAACGGTGTCGATGCAAATGACATACGGAATTTCAGTAACAACGAAATTGATTAACCTTTTTAAATGTTAATTTTGAATTAGTTGATTTATTAGGGCGGCATTTGCTTCAAAGCTTCGTAGATAAATGAGTTATTTTAAGTTGCATTGTTCTTTTTACTTAATAATGCAAGAAACCTTCGCCAGTCTCCTCGTCAATAACACTGGACACGATTGAAAAGGCGAATAGAGCAGTGCATTATGACATGCATATGAATTAACAAGTGGGTAAGAGCTGCTCACCTGTTTCATCTGCCGGATCCAGGTGAGGTCGTCGGATCTGGGGAATTTTCTGGGCCGGCCCCGGCGCGGCGGCATGATGCGTCTCCATGCCTGCCACTCCTCCTCCAGCATGCAGTCGGGCATGGCTCGGAGCGGCGGTACCGACCGGCGGCGCGCGGGCGGGGCTGCCGCAGGGTAGCCCAGTAGGTCCAGTTCTTTTTGCACCGTGCGCCGCAGACGTGTCAGAAGGTCCCGGCTGGGCCGCTGCCGGGTGACGCCGGTGCGGTAGCCGAGCTGGGCAGCCTCGGTGGTATCAGGACTTGGCGGCGGCGGTCCCCGCAGCAGCGCCAGAGCGGCAGCTGCGTCCAGCAGCTGCAGCTGCAGCGGCACCGTGTATACGGCGGGACGAGCACCGGTGTCATCAGCGAGCGGCCGGAGGTCTGAACCCGGACCCGTAGCGCTAGCGGCTTGCTCTTTTTTCTTCACTTCTGAAGGCTTTTCTTTCATCTTCCTGTAAAGTCTTGTTTGCTTGTATGATTTTCTCTCGTCAGGCTGCCGCAAGTTGTAGGACGCGCTTAATTTTATGGTCCTTTTCTTACGTTGTCGTCCTCTGCGCTTTAGGTGCTTTGAGCCTTCGAAACCACTGTGCCTATTTCGCGAGCAGATTTCTTCGACGGGTATTGATTGATGAACCTCCTCCTTTGCGAAGCCCCTAAACCCTTCTTTCTCCTCTGACAGTGGGCTGGATGGGCTGGGTAGGACATAGCTGGTTTCCTCTACAAGGTCCCGAATCTGATCGACCGCCTGTACGCCGTCCAACCGATCCTGTACCGTCTGGGCAGCACTTCTGGCACATCCGGTCACAAGCTCTTCCATGGTAAAACTGAGCACGGTGGTGAGGGAGGCTGCAAGTGGTGGTTTGTCACCAGGCCGTGTCGTTGTCCCGGTACTAGCCTGGGGCGGTTCTGGACTGAAGGAGCTGGAGGGATAACTGTTGTCTGATGTATTGCACGACCAGGACTCCAGGAGAGGGTGCAGAGACGCCAGCACGGTAGGAGATGATGGAGCAGAGAATACGGCCTTCACAGGCTCCAACGCCGCCAAAGGAACGGGAGAGGTTGCGATTTCCGGCCAGTCCTGTACCTACAACAGTGCGTCGTTAGCTTTTAGATATCCGGAATTATGCACGATTTTTTCGCCGATTAGTTCGCCTTATACCTACTCGTCCTTTCCAGAAACCACAAGGGGACCACAATGCTCCAAAGCTACCAGATAAGGACCTCGAGATATATAAATGTTTTTTGTACTTAGCTTTCACGCCATAATCAAACAGTATCCTCGTAGCCTTGACAATATGGATACCTATGCAATCATCTGGCGTTTGTTTGTTTCGTCTGGCAAAGATGATGCCATTTGAAAGGGACCCAGGTAATGCTGTTGGTGAAGATACCTATATGTTCTGCTTTTGAGGGGAATTGAGGGAGAGGTTCTAACCTCAGTGGGCTCTGCCGGCGAATGTTTCGTGGGAGCAGAACCAACTGACGCAGACAGACAGAGACGACATCGCCAGTCGAGCTGAGCTTCTTCGGAACACGGCACGTCCCGCTCCTCGACACAGTACAGATGGTACTGACTCCCGCAGCCGCGGCAGGAGAGCAGCTGAAACACGGTTCAGGTGACAGCGAGTACCACCCACCATATGACGACGGCTGTACCGCGGTTAGTAAGTGGCTAATGGTGGGCCGCCGCCCGACATTTTACATGGTCATTGGTCAAACAATGGCTTGCGCGTATACAAAAAGTACACGTAAATAAATCGGATGCTCCTTTTTAAGCGACAGGCTTAGCTGGTTTAACTAACGGTACCTCAGTGTCCGGATCGGCTCCGCACAGTGCGCATGCGGCGACGGATGGCGACAGGTCGCCGACCAGTGTCACTCCGTGTAGCCAGACCTCGGCAGGGCTGTTCAGCATGTCCATCAGCTCCGCTGTGCCATCAGAGTCAGGACTGGGGCTCGGACCTGTCTCCGGTGGAGATAGCTGCTGCTTCGAGGCCGGTCTTCGACCCCGTTGCGCATTCGGGCCACCTGATTGATAGGAAAGGGGAGGGGCTAACCAGAGAGCCTGCCATTGAAAATCATCCTGTCACTTGTTATAAGCTCGGTATGTTGAGTGGTTAGGGATACCGGATTTGCACTTTGCAGCCTCACCCTGCAGAGTTTGTAAAGCGACGGTAAGGCTCGAGAGACCGACCAACTTATCTACAATGACCAAGACACATACACATTGCTTCAAGCGCTTCACAAATTTCCCCTTTCTTTCTTACGTTTGCCAGAGCCATAGTGGCCGCCTGTGTGCATCACATCACAAGCAACGTCCTTGCGCTGCGCGTGTGTGAAGAGTCCAGATTTCTCTATACTCGCCGAACTCTTATTTTCTTATTTCTCTAATATTTCTCATATTTGATCTAAGCTCATGGGTTTAGCCTCCAGAGGGTAAAAACTCAAAATTTGTCGTTGTTACGGTAGAAGTTTTTGCATGATAACTTTTTGACTCCAAGGTTGTATTGCGCTGATTTTAACGGCGTCGCGGTTGTCTCGTCGAGACGCGTCGAATAAACAATAATTGTTGACTTAAAAAGATCAACTTAAGAATTTGACCTCAGGTCAAGGTCACGGAAAAGGTCATGTTGCATGGCATTCGATTCGTTTTGTTGGGCTGAGAACATTCATTGTGTTTTCAGCAATCTAGCATGTTTATACCTAAAGTCGTTGTCAAAAACTGTTTGAGACGTTTCACGACCTGAGTTGACCTTAGGGGTCTAAAAGGGGGTCACAGGCGCAATTTTCGGGCTCACCTCCGTGTCACTTTCACCTGTGCCCCGATGTTTGAGGATGTTTTCTGCCAAAAGAAAAGCATTTAATGGAGAGGTCACAAAGTTGACCTGATCTTAGGCCACCGATAGATAAATTCCGAGATATGCGACTTGTAACCGATTTCCTCATGCAATAGCAGGGGCGCGGGAACTACTTTCAGACTGGGGGGCACACCATAATAGAGATCAACCTAGGGTAGGTACCTCCAAATCTAGTTTTCTCGCTGGTTTTAGGCCAATTATTTTACATCCCTTGGCTTTTTCAGTAAGAAATGAAACATTTGCAAAAAAGTGCGGTATTCCGTCTGAAAGCATGGGGGCACCGCCCCCACAGCCCAAGAGTTAGGGGGGCAAGCTGTCCCCACTGCCTCCCCCCCCCCCTCGGTTCCCGCGCCTATGTGTAATAGCTTGAGCTTCAAACTTCTGGGATGTATAGTGTATACTGTAGAAATGACTGAATCATTAAGTTTTTTTTAGAGACATGGTTACTTAAATTGCCCTGGTACCATGACCTTACGTGACCTGGGGTCAAAAATCTCGCACACGATGCGAAATTGATATATCATACCAAGTTTCGCGGCGTTGCGCGGCGCAGTTTTCCTTACACTCGCAAAAAAAAACTGGTAGGTGTGGCCAAAAACGCATACTCGTCCCCCCACCCCCACCCCACCCACCCACCCACTCGGTCGAAGGTGAAGCTTGGGTTAAGCTACTTCCATACCTGTGCGTCTTGATAACAAGGTGTGAGCACGCTCCCGATGAAATGACTTTTTATGAGCTGGAAGTGACCGCGAGGTTCTCTTCAAATATTTGGCCTGGAAACACCGATGAGGGCCGATATCAAAAGATCAAACATGGTTCGAACTTATAAGAAATAATTAGAAATAATGTAACCTTTGTTAGGTTCCGTATTCTCAGCCGTATGGTATTTTGGGTAACAACAAATGTGGCATATTAGGAAAAAGGTATCAGAGAAGGCGAACCTACGGTGCAGGATTAGGATGTGAAAGATAACCTACATCTGTCCC